AGCCCTGGGCAGGGAGCAGGCAGGATCTCAGCACGAAGACATGGGAGTGTCAGATGAGGACTCTGTTTCAGGTCTTTTGTAAGATCCTGGTCTCTGTCAGGGCTCCTGGACACAGGGGGAGACACTATCAACTTGCATGTACAGTACTGCCAACCCCAAGGGTTCAAAATACATGAATCAGGCCTTCTGCACCCAAAAGAAGAATGGCTTCTTGAAGTCACAGTTAAAAAAAAACAAAAAAAGCACCACACCCCCCCCAGAAAGCCCCAATTATCAAGAGGTTTGTGATCAAATCAGGAGAGTTGGCATCACTGATGTCTAGTCAGTTTCACAGCTTAAACCTGTGGACAGGACAGCTCTGCAGACATATCTCCTGGGGTCACAGGGACATGCTGACAGCAGCATGGAACTAGCAACAGGAATCCACTGTAGCCCCACAGCACTGCAGAGGGTAGAGGGGTGAGGGCACGACAGGTTTTAAATTATCCAGGACCAGCAGATAGGGCCAGGGTATGCATAGGTGGAGGAAATGCACAAGCCAGCAGAAGGAGCCAGAAATATGCCAGGGAAATACATGGAGAGCGGCCCCTGAAGTAGTCTTACCACGGGGGGTAGTGCCCATCAGGAGGATTTGAGGGCCACTGGCCCTAAGGTAAATGGAGTTTGACAGACCCCTATCTTAAAAAACAACAAATGGTCCAGTAGCACTTTATAGACTAACAAAACATGTAGATGGTACCATGAGCTTTTGTGGGCACAGCCCACTTCTTCAGATGACCGGAGTTGAGTTTATGATGTGCAGACCAAAAAAAATAGGAGAGGGAAATTAAGAAGGGGGGTGGGAGACAGGGAGCTAGAGGAAATCAGTAAGTATCTGAAGATTGGGTAGTTAAAACAAAGCAGATAAGTATCAAAGTCAATTGATACAAAAAACAGGACTATGTAGCACTTTAAAGACTAACAAGATGGTTTATTAGATGATGAGCTTTCGTGGGCCAGACCCACTTCCTCAGATCAAATTGTGGAAGAAAATTGGCACAACCATATATACCAAAGGATATAATCAAAAAAATGAACACATATGAAAAGGACAAATCACATTTCAGAACAGAGAGGGGATGAGGGGGGGAGGTAAATGTCTGTGAGCTAATGATATTAAAGGTGATCATTGGGAAAGCCATCTTTGTAATGGGTAAGATAATTAGCGTCTTTCTTGAGACCTAGCAGTAAAGTGTCAAATTTAAGCATGAATGACAGTTCAGAGGATTCTCTTTCAAGTCTGGTATTAAAATGTCTTTGAAGCAGGATGCAGGTAGTTAAGTCCTTGAGACAATGCCCTTTCTGGTTGAAATGGCAAGAAACTGTTTTTTCTTTGTGATCCTATCTAATATCGGTTTTGTGTGCATTGATTCTTTGGCAAGTGTCTGAGACATTTGTCCAATGTACATAGCAGACAGGCACTGTTGACACATGATAACATATATTATATTTCTGGATGAGAAGGAATATGTGTTCTTGATCTTATAACTGAATTGGTTAGGTCCAATAATGGTATCGGCAGAGTGAATATGTGGACAAAGCTAGCAACAGGGTTTGTTGCAATGGAAAGTTCCAGGGTTGGTATTAGTGTGGTATGTCCTGTGGTTGTTGATAAGAATCATCTTGAGGTTAGGTGGTTGTCTATAGTATCCTTCCTGACATAGGAGTCTGTTTGCGCCTTCGATGGCTGTTAAGTTGGTAGTGCCCCAACCAACTTAACAGCTTCGTTTGAACTACCCAATCTTCAAATACTTACTGATTCCCTCTAGCTCCCTGTCTCCCACCTCCCTCTTTTTTTCCCTCCCCTTCCCTTTTCCTATTTATTTTGGGTTATACATCCTAAACTCATAACTCCGGTCATCTGAAGAAGTGGGCTGTGCCCACGAAAGCTCATGATACCATCTACAAGTTTTGTTAGTCTATAAAAAGTGCTACCAGACCACTTGTTGTTTTTTTCCTGTAACAGACTAACCTGAAGCTTCCCTATCTTAAAGGATTCCAACTCGTGAACTGAGTCTATATGTGAACATGGTAGCAAAATTACAACCACTTTCATAGGCTTTAATTAATGGGCATTAGCCTATGATACAAAAGTGTGAAGTGGAACAATATACTCGTTATTAACTTGAGAGGAATGAACTGAAAGCTTCTATATTAATCTAGGACACTTATGTATACTTATTATCACCACAAAGAAGAAACAAACAAATGTAAATGTCCACGGTCCAGAAAATAATAGAGGTATTTCTGAAGATGGACCATTCAGAACATTATGTTTTTGGATTTAATAGTTCACTCTTATCTAAAAGACAAATCAAGAGCATGGATAAAAAAAATGAACAATTGAGAAAAAAATCATTTTTAATTTAAATTAGATACAGGTTTAATTTTTAAAAATTAAAAAAAACCTATGTTAGGGCTTGAACTTATTATAGTCCAATAAATTAATTTAGAACAAATACAAAAAACTATCCATGTTTGCTGGCAAGTTTTAAAGAAAGTCACACGAATGAACTTGCTAAAGTCACTGGTTAAGCAGTTGGAACTTGTTGGTTGTCTTGTCAAACCAGCTTTTGACCCTCTTCTGCGGGTGCAAAAAACACTTTGTTCATGTAAGTTTATTCAACTAGTTCAGTTCAATAACTAAGTTAATGACCTAGTCAATAGGAAATGCACGATTCACCATTTGCAACAAAATACAAATATAAAAATTAAGCCTCAGAATAAATGCCAATTAAACTGTAGCTTAAATAACTGTGTACAGATGTCTGGTGTAGCCTCCTGACTGCAAGAAGGACCAAAAGAAGTGTGAAAGATACATTTAGTTGCAAAATAAACGTGTTTTAGTTGTTACCGACCAATGAGAATCAATCTTTTTTTTTAGAAAGGTAACTAAAAAGTACAAAGGCAAAACATGATTAAAACTGATTATTTAAAATTGCTAGTAAAAATGTGTGATTTAAATAGCTTTGATTTAACATCAATTCACTCTACCTGCTGCCCCCAGATATGGCACAAAACAGACTTCTTGAATTAGCCCACTGTTTATTCTATCACTAATCTTAACTGCAGGGGCATACTGCTTGTCTGGACCTCAAGTACCTAGTATCACAGAAATACTAGTATCAACAACCGCCTAGTGACTCCAGTCAATTCATATCCTCCAAATGAACATTTTTGGTGTTCAGAACTATAAAATGGAACATGCCTCATGGAGCATACATTTTGCATCAGATAGCAAATACACTTTAAAGACATAAATATACCCAGTGATTGGACAATCACACAATTTGTGTGTTTCCCCATCAATCTCATTCGGTCAATTATAACTGAAAGATTACATAGAAGAAATGTGTTCTATATGGAAAGACACAAAAAAAATGTATGTTCAACAGAACAGGAGGGCATTCAAGCATAAAAAGGACTACAGGCAGTCCCCGGGTTACATGGATCCGACTTACATCAGATCCCTACTTACAAACGGGGTGAGGCAACCCTGCACTAGCTGCTTCCCCCCAGCAGACCCCCAGCAGACCAGGGAGACGCGGAGCGGCTTTTCTCAGCAGACACCTCAGCTTGAGAATAAAGGACTGAGGGAAGTGAGGTGTGGGAGAATAAAACTGAGCTCTAGACAAATGTTTGGCTAGAGGTTCCCCTACAATATGTACCAGTTCCGACTTACATACAAATTCAACTTAAGAACAAACCTACAGTCCCTATCTTGTACGTAACCCGGGGACTGCCTGTATACGCAAAGATGCACACAGAAGGAGAATAAGAAAGGCAAGTTCAGAAAAAGCACTTTGCATGGAATTGTAAGAAGAAATTAAATCAGAAAAATTGATAGGAGTGGAGTGGTGTAGTGAGAGAGGGGGATGACAATTATGAAAAATTGAAATGGAAGACAAATAGAAGCCTATGGGAGAAGGGCAAAATAGCAAGTTTATTTCTGTAGTGCCTTTTGTATCATGCAAGATGACATGAACGGAGACCAGGGAAGAAAAATGACAAGACACAGAGAAGGTATTTAGCCAAAGAAAAAAGGTGGATTACATAGAAATTTCAGAGAAGCATGAAAAAGGGTTAACTATGTCCTCACTAAATCCTCTTGAATGGGAGAGGATAAGGGATGGAACAACATGCCAGGAGTGCAAGCATGATGAGTATTACTGAAAGGAAATAGATGTGACAGTTGCAGATAGCACATTCAGAAGACTGGAAGCAGAGGTGATTCTGTATATTTCCTCCTTCTTGCAGCAAGGACTGTCCTCTTTGCGAGTCTGGAGATTACTTAGCACTTATCGAGAGAGTATTGAGATAAGCACATAGGATCAGTTTCCTGCCATGATGTTGTTCAAATACAAGTCACATGAAACACACTGAAGATTTGAACCTCACATCAGAACATTAATAAAAGCACACACAAACCTCTGCCCTTTTCTGTGCATCTGATGACTCTCTCTGAACTGTGGTAAAACATATGTTGAACTCCTGGATAATTGAAGGGTACAAGCTATTGAAGTCCAGAAGCAAAATAAATGTGTCATAAAAACCTGAAATGGAATAGAGTAGAAAGTATAATACAGTATGAGGAGCCATATAATTATACATCCTCACTAGGGACCTGATCCAACACCCATTAAAGCCAAATGAAAGATTTCCATTTCAGGGTGGAATTCAGTAACTTTAAATATGAAATGTAACTAATAAGATGCATCTGTGGTGGTGTATCATACACTGAAGAGGGGAGATCTGGGGGAGGACACAAGTGTCAGAAGTAACACTTCACTCCCATATTACTTGGCCTCCCATATAAACTAAGCTGAGTGTTGTCAGACTACACTATGCTCTGCATAAGCTTGAGAAATAGCTCGGATTCAGACTGCAGAGACCAGTGCACTCTGGGATGTGTCTAAACAACAGTCCTAAACACTAAGATGTACCATTACCCAGTGATTTATGACTGTCAGAAATGGAACGATCTAACCCTCTTAACTTGCCAGGGTTAAACAGATAGTTTCTGTATTACTGTAGGATGCTTTTGTACAGTTTTCACCATATACAGGTGAAACAAAGAATAAAAACGTAAGCATCCACAAGCAAAATATATACATGGTTTCCACAAACTGAATACAGTGTAAGAAAACAAAAAAGCAACTCCTCCTTGAGACTGCATGAAAAAGATACACTACTATATTGGTAAACCAAATTAAATATTTTTCCCGTTAGCTGCCAAAGTGGAAACCAGACACAAAAGTTACTTCTGTGTCTATATCCTTATAAGAAAGGATAAACTGCTTCTCTCCTACCTTCTCAAGAGTATGTCCTTTTTAATTATAATCATTCTGGATTTGTTTTCCTCTTTTCATATAGAAGGGATTTGGCGATTTCTTCAGCATCTTGTTTTGAATGTTTTTTTGAAAAACAGCCATGTTACAGCACTTACATAGTTTAGCTGGAGTTAACCTTCACGTTTATGACTGGATATACCATAGCAAGCAATAAGATTGCTAAATCTTACCCACTTTGGGATCCAAGACTAAACCCCCAGCATATGCTGCTTTCTTTCTCCCTATCTTTGATTTATTCTGATCTTCTAAGTCTTCATCTTCATCCACCTGCATTTGGCATTAAAAAAGAAAAAATTCAACATCTAACCTCTCTTGAAGTAATATCAAGTTAATTTAGAAGGCTTAATTGGGGAAGGGGGGGACAAAAAAGAAAAACTGGCAGGAGTGAGATAAAAAGGGAGTTTTTTCTAACAGACATCTACTACATGAATATTTTTATCAATATCCTGATTAAGGCTCTTTCTATCACAAAATTTCATTATGATTCACTGCTCTGGGAACAGACTGATCACAAAAGATTACACAGTATTTTAGGAATCATCACCAGGGCACAGAGCACTAGTCTATGCTGTGTGACAGTCAGAAACCCAGTGAAAGAGAGACAGCAAGTTATCAATTTCAAAGACTATTACTAAATCAATTTAAACCCAAAATCTATTTTACAAAAATAGTGGAAGGGGTTAAACTAACACTTCAGATTAATAGAAACTTTTGCATTTTTTAAAAATCCAAATAGTTTTTTTTTTTTAAATGAATTAAACATGGCCTCCACATGGCACTGCAAATAAAGGAAAAAGTGAAACTGATTGTAATCAGAACATGAAAGTGACAGTTGCTGTTGGGCATCTCAGCACCAAGAATGTCCTTGGTCTGAATCTGTTCTCCCGGTGCTGGAGTCAACATACCAGTACATGCTTCCAGTACCAGGCCCGGTACGAACAGAGCACATTGCCCCACAGTTTGCTCCTTTCTGCTCATACTTGACACCATATGAGACTCTCTGTCCGTGAGAGAAGCCCTCCATTTCCTGGGCTGGTCTTTGTGTGAGGACACTGAGTTCCCGCTCCCATTCCATTGCTCAGAGCAGACATTTTTGATGCCCCACTTTGATGTCTGACTTCGCCAGTATCACCAGTGGCAGCCTCACTTTGCTGCAAATGTCTTTTGTGATGAAGCTCCTCCTTGACGTTGGTGGGTCCCCAAGCTTTCAGGCAGATTGCCTGACTCAGAGGCTCACCGCAATCCTCAGTTTAGTCAGAAAGAGGCGGGGGGGGGAGGGGCAGGGAGAGGAAAGAGGTACTTCAAGCGGCAGTACCGCATGGAGCCTGGGGCCAGACCCTGGGCTCCACACGGCTCTGCCGCTTTGAAACACCAGGAAGAGCCTGACAGCGGGCTCCCGTGGCGCCATTTCAAAGCGGCAGCACTGCATGGAGCCCGGGATCAGCGGAGAGTCCCCAGCTGCCACATGGTGCTTTCGCCTTTAAAGTGTGGCAACAGCCGTAAGGTGGTTTCTACTCTGCAAAGGCAGACGGGCCCTATGGACTAATCAAAATGCATCGACTATTCAATTAGTCAATTACCCACAATTTAACATCCCTATTCTAGCCTGGGGCCCTGCGATACCAGCTGCCTGTAACGTGCCCAGTATCAGCTGCATGGCAGTTATGATCCCCTGGGCCATTTCCCCATGGTCCTCCCCAGCACCTTCTTTATCACAGGCTCTTTTCCCCTGGTATGTGCTTGCGTTTGCTTCTCCCAAACATTCCAGAGCACCTTCTCTCCCCAGCTCCTTGAGTGCAGTGAGCTAACACAAAGGGAGCCTTTTTTAACCAGTCTCAACTGGTTCTTCACTGGCAGAATGTTTCCTGATTAGCCTTGCTCCCTCGATTCTGGAAGTCTCCTAACTGGCTTTAGGTGTTTTAATTGACCTGATTGATTCTAGCAAGGTCCTGCTGATTCTGAATTAGCCCTTATTAGGTAAACCCTGGAAACAGGAATCTATTTAATGTAGGGCTAATGCGTATATCCCTTCTACCACTCTGCTGTAGCCCTTAAGCAACTTCAAAGTGTGACAGGGTCAGGCTAATCTTCCCGATGAACAGCTGGACAATACAGGCTTGACCAGAGAGGCCTTGAAGCTTAGTTCTTCAGAAGCCAATAGCACTTACATGGCTCATTCCAGGAGAAAGAGCTTCAGCCTCACATCTTATTATTTTAAATCTTGCCAAAAAGACAGGCAGGCTAAGCACCTGCTAGGGAAATGGGATTTTCCCATTTACCTGCAATTCAAGTATTTCAGGAGGATTAACTCTCACTTCCATAGGCACCAAGAAGAGACCTAGCTGATGTCCAAACTGCCAGACTTAGCACAAGCTAAATTCCAGACCATCAAAGAACAAGCTGCATAGGGTGCATGTATACCCCGTACCATGGCTAGTCAAGAAAAATCCAGTTTTGCACACAAGCTGCATCTATATTGGCACAAAATGCAAAGAAGAAATTAAGGAGGTTTTTCCTCAAAACTTTTTTGGTATCTAAAAGGGCCTTTTCAACCAAGAAGAAACTGATTGGTTCACAAAAAAATAAAAAAGTCTCTATAAGCAATCATTAAGTGCACCAATAAAAACATGAAAAAAGATACTTGATATTACTGAGCATGAAAAAAGTTAAGTGCTCCTGTGATGATAGTAGGTAAAAACTTAGATAGCTTATGTGTTTTTCAAATTCAGAGTATCCCACTGAATCACAGGCTCTTTTCCCCTTTTCATGCCTTAACACAATTTATGTCATAGATTTGGAAAAATTTCTTGTTGAGCTGACGATAAATTATTCCTGTGATTGGATACAATTACTTTATCATGTTTTCGTAAAGAAAATAAATGGTAAAAAGGAAAAGATTAGAGTTTTTATAAAGAATTTATCTTAAAAAAAACCACACACATAGAAGAAAGAACAAGAATACTAGTTGGGACCCACCAGCTTCTGCTGAGGCTTTTTAAAAACTTGCTTGTCAGGCAGA